TAAAATTATACAATCTAATAAATAATATTAAACATTAAAACATTATTTTTTTTTTATAAATTATCTATAAGAAAAATAATTACTATATATATGATTCTTTTATTTATTTTTATTTACAAGTTTATAAGGATATTTTCGGATCGAAAAACTATTATAATGTCATTTATATTTTTATAATTTGTCACACGTCTCAATTGATAAATCTAGAATTTGTACATTTTTATTTTCACTTCTATCGGGGTTAAATATGAAACGGAAGAAGCATTTAAAGATACTTAATCATAATGACCTACAATTTCAGCCGAAATGGTTTTACATATAGCAGAGCTGATTGCTTTATTTACTATTTCTTATCGAACCTATAAAATTTTATTATCAAAGTAGAGCGACCATAATGAATATAGTGTTTTAGCCTTAGAAGTTTTTATACGATTGATAATTAATTATTTGATAGGACACGCGCATGCTCAGAATGACGACAATAACGATCAGCAATTCACATTTTATATTTGTATAAAGATCGTATTTGATTCCATTAAACGTGATTGTTTCTCCGTTGTAAGGAACAAAGTAATTTAAAGTTGCGGGGCAAAAACCCTCAAATTTCGATGCTATCCTGAACGATTTACACTAGGGAAAATACGTTAAATCCGGAGCACACGTGTAATGAGCATGCGCCAAACAGCAAAGAAATCAAAAATTCAAAATCGAAATATAGAGTTTTTCCTGCAGCTATTAAAATAATACCTAACGTTTCAGACATTATTTTTTTTTCTTTTTTTCTTTTTACATAAATCAATTCTTTAATGTTTCTTCAAAGTGAGAATATAATGGCTTGGCGATTTGAAAAATTTACCCATAAGGTCATCGAATTTATTTAAAGTTCTTTGATAATGTGAAGAGACTTGAATTTATTGAAGAGACTTGTTTTGGCTGCTTATAAAACTGAGATCATAACTTAATTTACTATCAATTCTCTATCTTTTTTCTGACAAGTACTCTTTGAGTCAATCTAAGAATTTAATCGTGTGATGTATTAAACAATTTAAAAGATGTTGCAATGCAAATTTATTTTTTTTGATTGAATAATCTAATCATGGTTTCTATTGTATTTGTTATTCTGATTTTCACATATAAAGCCAAAGTTGATCATTGGCTTATGATCAGAATGAAATTCATCCAACAATATAGAAATAATTCTACACTTTTGGGCGATAACTTCCAACTGTTTATGCGTAACCCAATGATCTTTATCTATCACTTTCGAATATTCAATTTGAGCAGTTTTTATATGTGACAATAAATATCCTCTATCTCCTAAACTTAAACAAGCTGATAATACGTCTTCAGTTATATTATATTTTGTCAAGAGTGTATGATGACTATAAAGATTAGAATATGAAAATGAAGTTAGCAAAAT